CTGCCCCACAGACACACACTCACCCCGTCTGCCCCACAGACACACACTCACCCCGTCTGCCCCACAGACACACACTCACCCCGTCTGCCCCACAGCCCAGTCAACAGCAGGGTGGTCAGAGGTGATCGGACATTACCAATGAGCTTGTAGGAGACCTGGAGGCAGAAACACACATTCAAGTGTGTGCTTCCACTGACCCCCAAAACAAACCGCCGTTTTATTTATTTTTTCTAACTCTTAGACATTTATGACTTTTGTTAAACTCTCAAGTTTGACATAACATCAAAGAACGAGTTTCGGAGTTGAACCATGTTTTATTGAGGGCTGAATGTCGATCGTAGGCACTTTTAACACAAACAAAACCATGTGGAAAAACTCAACGGACATCCCTAAAATCATTTTTACGTACATTAAAAAAAATGCTCTTGCTTTTGCCAAGACTGATTTGCATTTCTTACAAGCTTACAAGTGCCCCAGGAGGAAAATAAAATGCGTACCATTTGACCTCAAACTGGGGTCAAGTGGAGTTCTGCCTTCTGAAAGTCGGTCATGTTGCACAGCTGGGAAATCCATACGCTGCTTTATAAAGTGTGTGGGAGACTGAAAAAGCACGATGAATGGAAATGGAGATGGCAATCCAGCAAAATATGAGTGCAAACTGTAGAAAAGTACAGCGTAAATAAATAAGCAAAAGCCTCCATTTCATAAACTATTCAGCTGGTATGCCTTTAACCCAGACATTTAAACCCTGCAAGCTTTCTGAGAGGGAGAAATCTCTTTTTTTAAAACAAATATGCTGATAATTATCGTGGAAAAGGGGATTTGCTGTGATTTTATGGGATTTTGGTGCTGGAATTATGTTAAACAACTCCCACTTTGATGCATTCATTCAGGTGACAGTGACAAGGTTTTTAGCTGCTATGTGCACCAAAGGAATGAGAACAGGAAATACAGAATGTACAAGATGACGTCATTTTTTTAGTCTTTTAAGAGCTCTTGTCTTCAAAGTAGGTCTGCTCGATGCGCCTGCAGAAAGACAGCAGGTTGCTGTAGCTCTTGACCCTCTCTGCCAGCTCGTTGCTGGTCAGTCTGGTGGTCAGTATGCTGAAGAGGTGACCGAACACCAGCGCGTCCAGCTCTGTAGGCCTGCGACACAGAGATAAACACTTAAGGAAACAATCAGAGATCAATAAGAAATTAAGACAGGCAACTGCACAAGTCTTAAATATATTCACACTGATCTAGATCGAGTCATTTTCTCCGGCAACTTACTGCTGCTAAATCCACAAAAATCTGCAGTTATTATCTTTGGTCTAAACATCTCAGGATCATTTATCTATTTACATAAAATTGTATTTTTTTCACTTCTATTATTGCAGATTTTATATCAAAAGGTAGGAAGTGTGTAAAACTTATTTTTATCACATGCAAAATATCAGAACTAAAAACTGTTTCACTATAGTGATAATAATCGTATAAACAAACAGTCCTTGTATTTGTTACTTTCATTGCTTTCTGCATTTTATATTTTCAGGCTACTAAAAAAAGCAGTTTATTTGTTGATCCAAAATGCTGCTGCAAGTTAAAATATAGTTTTACATCTTTTATTTTTACAGCATTTTATCAACCCTTTAAAAAGTTCTAAATAAATCTTTGATTATTCTCCTTAAACATAAAGCAGCTCCTAATGACCAGACTTATCTAAGAGACTTAAAGAGACTCTTCTAGCTCAGATTTAATTTTAACCTTCAGTTTTTTATATTTATTGTGTTGTCTTATAAAACCAGCTCCTAGTCTGGGTTTAGTCTACTTTAGATTAGGAAAAAAACAACACATCTAATCTGTAATAAAGCTTTAATAAACAACCCCTACAGTAAATAATTATATTTAATGAATCACACGTATGGAACATTTCTAATTAAATACATTCTTCCACCTACTAATCCTTTAACCCACTTCTTTTTTTCCATTTTAAAATGAAAAGAAAAAAATTTTAAAAAAAAAGTTCAAACATTAAGATGTTGTGACAACATTTATCCATAAGGTGGTGCTCAAGTGACGCCAGCTGGTTCTCAGTTAGCAGAACTTGTTAGCAGAACTTGTGTTCTTCCCAACTGCGGTTTGATTCCTCTAACATTAACAACACATCAGACATGTACAAGTAAAATATTTAGAATACGCACTGTTTGTTAAAAAAGTACGGCTGCGTCCCGAGCCTCTGAGAGAGGGCCTGGCAGCACTGATTTACATCTTCATAAACCTAAAACAGAAACATTAAAACACAACTTAAACTGAGTTTTTTTATTTAAATGAATTAATAAACATTTTAAGGTGTAACAAAATTGCCCTAAAAACACTTTAGTTTTAAACTATTTAGAAAACTGAACAGAATCTGTGACATTTTGAAAACTATTTTAAAATCATGTCAGATAATTCTCTATTACCAACCTGCTCGAGTGTTTTCCCTCCCCAGCCGATGGCATTCATCTTCCTGCGAACCTCCCACTGCTTCTGATAGGCCAGGATTTTACCGAGAGGCCACGAGTATGGGCTGCTGTATCGGGGGTGGGAAATCTATACGTAATAAATAAGAACAAATAAACCAGAATAAGACAATCAAATGTTCACTGTTATTAAAGAAAACAAAGCTGAGAGTAAGAATACCCACCTCAGCAACTGTTGCATCGTCACACCACTGAATGTACAACTAGAAAGGAAACAGAACCTTAATAAGAAGCTGTTAGTGTGTTTAACACGAGGGTGCTTGTGTTTGTGTTGTTGCACCTCAGCTGTCAGCAGCATGTTGTTAACAAGCTCCATGTACGCTTTCATCTCAGCTCTCTGAACATCGTCTAAACTGTCACTCAGAGAGTGACCCTGCAGAAAATCAAATATTTTAACTCTTTTTCTTCAACAGAGATAAACAGGACACATTGTGACAAGCCATAAAATGATGCCAAGTGTATCAGAGCAAAAGTCAAGCTGGTAAAATTGAAGCATCACCTTTGCTTTGGTGAATTGCACAATCGGACCCAGTTCTGACACCACTTGGTTCCCAACATTGATGAAGGGAATTTTACCTATGAATGAAAAAAAAAGAACAAGCCTCTATTAAAAATTACTTAAAACATGACTTTTTCTGGTCTAGGTTAACAGTCATATCTTGGTACTCATGTAACTGCATTTAAATGTGCTGCAAATGTGCTTCAAACACACCAAAACAAGAATAAAATCTGTGTCAACATAGTCAAAAACAACCAAACAAATAGACAAATTAAGACTCAGAGGAAGAGTCACCGCTGTTGTTAAGACTGAAAAAAAGCAGGGACAGAAAGTGATTGTCCCTGCAGCAGCACTGACCTGAAGGTGACATATATTCAGCATTTGCTCTGCAAACCACCTGCACCGGGAGACTACACATCCTGAGGTAGGCCTGCAGAGGACAAACAGGACATTTACACCAGAAACTATTACAGCTGTTTCCAATAATGCACCAAAATAGTATTTAATAGTAAAAAACACAAAGCAAATTCTATAATTCAAATTATATAAAAACTGTATGTTAAATACAATTTAAATTTAAAAAAAAGAATGTGTTTTTGTTACTCTAGAAAGACCGACTTATTTCTATCACTCTCATCATTTCCTGCCACAATAAAGTGTATTTTTGTTTGTAAAAATAAAGTTCCACACAGAACACATTTTCAGACGCTTTAGTTGAGGAAACACAAAGCAAACCTCACCTGAACAGCAATAGATGATGCGTGGTCTGAGAGCAGAATCTGATCCTCTGTTAAAACATACAAATAAATGCATCAGATACATTACAGTCAAAACAGAGGACTCTTTTTTTTCCTCAGAAGTCTGACTCACCCTTCAGCGGTTGGTATAAAGTAGCATTTTCAGGCCAAGGCTCAGCAGCTGTCAAGTGTCAAAAACAAAAGTGCATGACGCTGAAGTAAGTTATTGTTTTCTTCTTCGAGGCATAATAAAACCGATGCCTTGTGTTCACAATCATCAGGTCTAATATTAGATGAACATATGTTACATTGTGTAAGGATTTATTCAACAGTAAACCCATGACTTGTAGAAGCACCTTAAGCATCAACAACTTGTCGTTATCTTCTGAATGACTTTATTCTTGTGGAGGAACTTTAGCTTGGCAACAGATTTGTTTTACTAAACGTGGTAGGTGGTCATTTAGACTTTGGATCATTGCAACCAAAGAAAATTAGCATTTTCAGACATTTTGTTGAGGCCAACAGCTCTGAAATATGTTGTATTCTTGTGTTGGATGATCTCTTTTGTCCTTTCGCAGATCAAACTATTAGAACATTCTCGCTTAAAAAAACTATTCTTGGCATTTGTCCATCTCTTCAGGCTTACGTCTTCCAGGAAAACATAAGAGGTTACAGTGTTTGTGCACAGGACTTGGTTCTTTTAATTGTACCAAGGGTTTGAGTCAGAAAATTTCTTAAAATATTTTGCCTCTTTGTTGGGATTCTGTTGGAATCTGCTCAAAAACCATCTGAACTGTTTTAGTGAGTGAATTTAAACTTGCCAACATTTTAAATTCACAATGATCTGGGTGTAAATGTTTTGACTGATGGTTTCTGTTACTGACTCCTTAAAAAGCTCTAAACTATCACCTGACTTTTTGAGTGTTTTTCCATGGTTTGGTTTTTTTTTTTTTTTTTTTTTTTTTTTTTTAATGTAAGTAGGTGCTGTTATTTAGTGCTTTTTTGAGCTGCTTCCTGAATTGGTCAGGACTCTCTCTTGTAAAAGAAATAGCTAATCAAAAGTGTGTGTCCTGGTTAAACGTAGACTAAAAACAAACTGCACGATAACCTCAAGGTGAATTTGATCAAGCTTGCATTCCGAGTAATATTGGCGATTGTCCTAAATTCTTTACACTTGAGAAAAAATATTTGTTGTTGTAGAATTATAAATAAGAACTGGCGTATTTCCTCTTTGCCCTTCTGTCAACAACACACTTGAATGCTCCAGTGCTAGCATCGGCTCAGTCAGAGTCGGTGCATTTCCTAGCAGCTGGCTAGCTAACCCTCTTTTTTTATTTATTTAATAGCATAATTAGCTTTTCACACATTGCTTCTACATTTTGACTTAGTTTCTGACAAATATGTTTTTGCTAATTGATAATAAAGGTCTTACTAATTTTAATTTCAAGATGCTAATTGTCACCGTTAGCTCTTGTGAGATACAGTTAACCTAAAAGACGAAAATAAAAACGCAGAAGTGAACACATTACCTGCCATCTGCGACACGAAAGCCTCCGCCGCCAGAGACATGTTGATATTATGACACTAATACTGCTGCACTGTATTCACTGTCAGAGACAATCGCTCAATGGTGCTTCTGCTTCATTCCAGGTTAAGGACAAGCATAGGGTCCGTCTTTGAATAACGTCCGTGGAAGAACGATGTGCCCTGCTGTATAGTTCCACGTGCTGCACAAATCATGCCCGATGAGACTTCAATGTATGTTGC